CATTATCAAACATGGATCAGAAAGAAGAGAACTAATAGCTTAAGAACTCATAGATGCAGGCAGATCAGGATTAGAAAATTGAAATAGCAAGTATAAGAAGGAAAAGACAGGCAAAAACTTCAGGCGAAAACTCACACTGCCACCAAATTCTGTAGTAATCCAGTGTGGTCGAGGTGCAACCCCATATTTCTTCCTGCAATTCTCTGCAAACTCCTTGTAGTCAAAGGAAGATGGAGGAAACATACTCCCATTTGAACAAGTCATTGGCATTACCATCTCTGTACATGCTGTAAAATCATCCTGAAATTCATTTCATTTTTCTTCCCATTGTAGATAATAAAATTGGATATTCTCCCTGAAATTCTTAGCATAGTATTTAAAAGGTTAATATCAAATTTTGGTCTGTTTAACTCATTTTCATTATATATGCTTGCATGCTGGAATCTCAATATAAAAGCTATAAATTGTTACACATATGGATTAAAATGACAGGTAGGGCGATGTTTACAATTATTCATTAGCATATTGTACAAACCCTGTTCCACCAAGCCTAATTTCTCCAGTTTGTGCAGCTTTTCCTTTCAGAAGTTAGTTGTGACAATATTCTGCATTACCTATGTATTTTTGCAGAAAAAATTGAACTACATAAAAAATGCAAAAAGACAGCTATATTTACTGCAAAAATGCCACAACTTGAACTAGCTAGAATGTGTTGCATATTTAATCAAGTAATTCTCCCAAGGCACCAAAATTTGAATAGATTCAGTGACATGAATAGCCGTGGAACTCTACTGCTTATATGATGTTACCTTAAGTTACCTTTCAGAAAATATTTCCAGAACATGCAAACCTAAAGTGGTTTAAGTTCTAATAAGATTATTGCAATTCATTAGGAAAGCAAGATGAAGATATATGCAAATTTGTAAATCAGATTAATACACTTGAGGAATGCAGTCTCCATTGCAACAGCTACAACATTCCATACCTGCCAATCCCACCCATGGAGGCCATGAGAATCAGTACCATGTTCAATATTGAAACATTTTTCTGTCTTTGAGTAGTTGTAGTACAAGCTTGCAGCGGCAAAAGCCCTACTAAGCTTCGAAGCTCTAGGTGAGAAGCCATCAATGATCTTGCACATCTTCATTTAAAAAGAGGAGAGGAGTTATCAAAAAATATTTGATGTTATATTGAGAATTTTCATGCACAAGTGGGCTAAACATGTACAGTCACTTAAATGCTCGTCATAGAATTTATACCGCTTTCACTGGATAAGCAGGTAATGGCATCATAAAATTGGCTTCAGTTGGGTAATTCACCATGGCTGTGTAAACAAAAGCAGCCATAACCAGTCTTGCACAGAGTCCACCGATTGGAGGTCCCTGAAAGTTTGAAAAATTAAATATAGAAAATTAAATGGTGGTAATAATTATCCCCAAGTAAAGCTTGGAGTCAAGTTTCCAAACGACAAGGGAAATTCACAAACTTCCATCGAATTACTTAACCATTGTTCATGGAAGGATGACGCCAAAATTTAGATACCGCTTTGAGGTTTTTGTTATCAAAATTGCAGACTATGGGACCAGATGAGATTCAGCTAAAGTTAGAGGGAAAGAAGAGTATAATTGTTTTCTAATTATTAATATTGCTCTGAACCGGAGGAACATGCTTTGTACTAGAAGACAATAAAATACTGCATGAGCAATGTTTGCATCTAAAAGATGTGAAAAGCATCTACTTTCCCATCACGACCGAAAAATAAATATGAACCCAGTAAATTATTACTGATTCCTCTCAGCTTCTAGCGTTTTTTAATCAAACTGGTGCTAAGCGTCACCTCTTTGCAGTTGAAAGATTTTGGCTTCTTTTTCATTTCTTCTTTTGTCAAGCTTGAACTTTACAAAGCCCTTTATTTCTTCCAAAAGCCTAATTTAAGCCAATAAATGAATTTGAAAGGACTTTTTTTTTTAACGGTAAACAATCTAAAGGGACAATAGAGACTATTGAAGTTCTCTGTGAAATCTCTTGGACACAGTCATCCACATTCTACCATTTAGTTGATGATACGACTCACTTGCAAGTTCTGAAAGTTCTGCTTAGTTCTGCCAACCCTTCTTTTTGAGCCGATAGAGCTTTCAGTTCTTGCCAGCTCCCTTTTATTACCTTATAGCAATTCAAGCTAGCATCCTGCACAGTAACATTTATAACCACACAGAGAGAGAGAGAGAGAGGAGTCAATTCGGGCCTTCTCCATACTTACCGATAATCCTTCGAAACAGCATCATAGAAGCTAGACCATGGAGTTATGTCGTCAAACTGCAAGATTGGGGCTGACGATGCCAAAGCTCCAATTGCAATGTGTGGGTATTTCAATCTAAACCAAGCAGCCAGCACTGACACAGAGAGAGAGAGAGAGAGAGGAGAAAATTATCGGGCGTGGTAGATTTATTTGCCAAATAAAATTCAAGCAGGAAAAACAACAGGGTTGTTGAAAAACGATGGGTGACACATCCATAACAGGGCATTAATGGCTGTTACATAAATGAAAGCTTTTTTTTTGGAAATGAATGCACCAGTACAAGAAATTCCATATCGCTGGCAAGCAAGAAATTGCTAAAACCCAAATGTTTGACTTTCAAGGCATTCGACCTTCCCTTAAAATGAAACATACTCTTTCAAGTCGGAGCAAGTCAAGAGAACTTAGAAGCTAGTATACAACACAGGTACTTTATTAACTATTCCACCTACTTCCTCCATAAGAACCGCCAAAGACCACCACAGGGGAAGCCTCAGTGGACAAATTCCGCTTCAAACTCCTGAGCAGAACTGCAAAATCGGCCAAAGCTTGCTGCGAAGTCAAGTACCCCAGCGTCTTTGCCGACTTATAGGAATCCTTCCCAAACGGCATTGATTCCCCATAAAACCTATGCTGAAACATCCACACATATAAGCAAATTAAACCCAGAAGCAAGTGTTCAATAAAACATCCAATAAAGAAACGCCATATGGTGATTTGAGTTTTTTGAGAGGTGGGGACTCGTTGCACTTGAATGGAAACCAGGATATTTTGGAATTTAGGGGCCAATACTAAAATCTTTAAGACCAATCAAAATAAAGACTACGTAAATGTGCCAAGTACTATTATTTGGGGAAAAAAAAGCTTAAAAACGTTCTAGAAAACATGAAACAAGGAGAAACCCGGACGGTGATTTTGAGATGTGGAAAAGTGTTGTACTTCAATGAAAACAAGGAGAGCCTGGAATTTGGGGGCAATGTCGAGCATGAAGCCGGTATTGGCGGCGAACCACTCAATGTCGCCTTCATTGCCGGTGTAGACGAAGATGGGGCGTCCTCTGCGCCAGAATCGATCATTGATGAGGTACTTCTGGTAGAAGATTTTGGAACTCTGAGGCTGGAAGGTGAAGTGGTCTAGAAGCTGAGGGAAGTAATGGGCCTTGAATGGTATCTTTGGCTTCTGTAGAGAAGATTGGTGTGCAGCTCCTGGGGGGAAGTACACGGGGATGATCGCAATATCGCTTCTGCTGATATTGCAGATAACGTGAAGAGGATTAGCACGAGGAAGCTGGACGATGGATCCATTCTCTCTCTCTCTAGCTCTGAGGAAAGGAAGAGATTGATAAAAAATGACAAACTCCGCAGAACAGAGAATAACTTATCCATGTTGAGGTCTGTCATGTCAGCAACTTTTTAGTTGGCCGCTTCTGTGCACGGTGAAAAAGGTCGTTGATCTTTATGCATGATTCTCCGGAAGATTGTTACATAAGAAAGGAGCCAGAAGAAGTAGCAATCTTCTCCAGCCATGGCCGATTGGTAAGGATAAGATGATGATTGCGATTGGTTTCGGGCCAAGCTTGTATTCAGCTATAATTTGGTTTAATATGAGATAAAAATAGGTCAAAAACAATTTTTAAAAAATAATTGTATAAAAAATTAAGTTATGTTTTTATAAATCAAATATCATAGAAAATCAAATTTTCATTATATCACAAAAAAATCCTAATATTAAAAAACCCATTTATTTTAAAAAGTAAATATTTCTCTATTTTAGTAATTTAGATTACTCAATTTTAATATAATAATGATATAATTTCTCTAAGCCATTATGAAAGAAGAAAAGCATAATTATGAAAGAAAGAAAATGTTTTCTGAAAATAAGATACAAACAAAGTGGTAGGACACGCTAAGATGTCATCCAAACCGTACATTTATTAGCATGACAAAGATATTTCTTTTTTTTTAATTAATTTTTTGGTTAGTTGCACGAGAAAAAACACAAACACATTATTGAAGCCTATAAAATAAATAACTAGCAAAGTGTCACCATCCGGGCCATTATTGTCCCTATCACTATCATCCCGTAAATTCTCAAATATTTATTTTTACCTATCACCCTCTTGACTTTGGTTATTCTTCTATTTATTTAAAAATGACGTATTTTTCTTGAATTGACATTTTTATATATAATTAAATATGTTGGGAGAGTTATTATTAGAGGTAGTTTGCAACACTACTATTTATATGAAAAGGAATAGGAGTGTTCATGCTTCAGTTTAGTTTGATTTGATATTCAAATTTAAACTAAATCATATTTTACAGTTTGTAATTTTTATAAATCAATCAAACCAAATTACGGTTTATGATTTGGTTCAGTTTTCAAACTACGGTTTGTGATTTACAAAATAAAATGAATTAAATTCACTATTTTTATAAAAATTTTAACATAATTTTCCTAAAAATTGGTCATCCATTTTTTTCTTAACATGTTTAATTTAATAAATTCATTATTTATTAATTAACTATAATAATTATACATTTATAATAAATATATTTATACCATTTAACAGAATTTCACTCTTACTAATAGAAATTATACTTAAAAAAAGAAAAATAATCAACTATTAGAATGAATATAAATATAAAAGATAACAAAAGAAGAAATATACAGTCAAATAATAAAAATATACTATATATATATATATATATAGAATTTTTAGTTTTGAATATATATAAATTATACGGTTTGGTTCGATTTATACGATTTATCTAAACATCAAATTCAAACCAAGTCACACTATACCATTTGGTTCGATTTATGCAATATAATTTATTTGATTCGATTTTTTGAACACCCGTAAAAAGAAACACAGCAGTGCTAGTTATTTTTTGTTTTTCTTAATTCTAATGGCTGGACTTAAAATAAATAGATGAAGTACACATCTCCTTGGCTTTGTTTTCGAAAACTGTTCTATATTTTTCAAATATAATTTCCTGTTGGCAGGTTATTTTGAAACGTTAATTTGGGAGAATTTTGAAAAAAAAAATAAGACCTTTTTCTGGAAAACAAGAAAAGGTTTTTTTAAAAAACTTTTAGAAGCAATTTTTTGTTCAAATGAAAGCAATATTGCACTTTCTTTCAATTTTTAAAAATAAAGAAATATGAAAATGATAATTGGAAATAGAATAAGGAAAAAAAAAAAAAGATATAACAAGATCTCAAATGATGGTTCAGTTTGTTGAATAAATATGTAATACACTCATAGATAATATGTAACAGCTACACGTATACGTGAATTATATATGTTGTAGTAAATCAAGAAATGCACGTGATAAATTCACTAGTTCTAACTTTTTCCAATTATAGACCTTCAAGAATTTAATAAGATAAATACATCAGCTCTAGGCCTTCGTCTTCTTGAATAGAAAAGAGACATTAAAATAGATCACACTCATGGTTAAGATGTGACGAGGGAAAGAAGAAGACGGAGAAGTTGATTCAGCCAATAATCCGGTCCGATCTTCTGAGACTCAGACTTTGCCAGTCTTGAATCCATCAACATGCAACTTTCTGGCCTTCTGGTGAGTTTTCTGTTAACCGGACTTTGCAATGTGTCGTCTGTTTACAACAATCCGACTCAAAGCTTGAACGGGTCTATCCTCCCAGACAGCGGCCAAAGCGGGCTTGTGAACTTTGGTGGTTCCACACAGAATGGCATAGTAGCTGTGGCACGAGAGGTGCACGTGTCATTGCAGGGAGATGTAGTACAAGTGGGTGAGGCAGAGGCCATGTATTAGCTCCCTAAGATTGAACCAACCCAATTCAAGAGGGCAAATGAGTGGGCCAAAGGAATTGGTTTGGATTGATGAAGCTGGGCCAAGTATTCTTATTGTTATCAAGTAAATATAACAATGTTAAAACGAGGTCTCATAAGCACTTGGGTCAAAGGGCTTGTGGGGATGGTTGAGGAAAACACAACACAAACACACACACACCACCTAGGGGAACCTAGGGAAATATGAGTGTTAGAGTCAAGCTTACAAGTCACTCACCTTGCTTGGCTAGTTATCCTAAGCGAAAATTTTGGTGTTTTGCTTTTACTAAGCCAAGGGGGTAACAAACCTGGTATTAGAGCTCTTAGTGAGCTTGGATCGATAGACATGACATCCAACAACAATTACTTGACACTCAAGGCGAGGATTCAACAATTGGAAAAGTTGATAGGCCAGCATTTTTAGACAATCGACGTCTCTCTGTACCTGGCCATTGAAGGATATAAGAGATGATCAAGGGACTTTAGAAAAATGATAGGGAGTTTTCTTTCGATGATCGAGGAATTAAAGCAGATGGTGAATGAGATAGCTAGGCTCCTTATCTAATTCAATACTCTACTGGTGTCCCTAGAAGAGAAGGTTAGTTCTGTACACAAGGACTTCTTCTATGTAACTGAGGCGATTAATATAGAACAAGCTGTAATTTGAAAGCCTGTTAGAAGTGGCTTGAAGGATTCATCCAAAAGTACAAAGAAGTTTAGAAGTTCAAAGTTCTGAAACTAAAGACGTTTGAGGGCACTCGAAGTGCTTGAGAGTTGGAGAATTTTCTATGGGATATGGAGACACTACAAAGATCTCAAACAAAGAGAAAGTTTCCATCATTACTATGTACTTGACAAGAGATGCTAAATTATGGTGGAGGTCGAAGATAGTGCAAGATGAGGTGGTGAACAGACCAAAGATGAGTGCATGGGACGAGTTGAAGAAGGAGCTAAAGAAGTAGTTCCTCATTTGCAACACTAGTTGGTTGGCATGAAATTTGTTGCAAAAGTTAAAGCATAAGAGTTCGGTGCGCGAGCATGTAAAGAAGTTTGGCTCCATCATGCTTGACGTTCAAAATATATTCGAGGAGGATAAGCTCTTCTATTTTCTTAATGGACTTCAACCGTGGGCTTAAGTAAAGTTGAGACGCTTGGGAGTCAAGGATTTACAAGTTGTCATTGCCACTACTAATCGTCTTATGGATTTCAAGAAGGTTGGAAGACCATACAAGGTAATAGGAGTTCAGAATCAAGTACAAAGAAGTTTGAAAAGAAAAACAACCAAAAGCAAAACAAACAACCCTTTACAATGAAAGGGCAGTTCAGGACTTTGCTTGTTGTCCACAAAGAAAATCAAAGGTGCTACATTTGTAATGGTGATCATTGCATGCGAGATTCTCCGAAACAGGGTAAGATCTTGGCAATAGTAACAAAATTGAGGTTGAGGATGGGGATGTGATGAGAGTGAATCTTTTGCAATTATTGAGTGCGATCTAGGGTGAAAGGACATGCACTTCAAGAGACCTAATGTATGTTGAGGATTGGAAGAATGGTAAGGAAGTGTTGGTCATGGTGGATACAAGTGTGACACAAAATTTCATTGCAAATAAGGAGATTCAAAGGTTGGATCAAGTTTTTTGTAGAGTTCAAGTGGGGTGAAGGTTGTGAACTCCAAAGTGGAGTCGATCAAGGGAATAACCAATATAGAGGTACAGTTTGAAAATTGGTAAGAGCAGTATGAGTTGATGGCTATCCATCTTGAAAAGTGACCAAGGCGATGGCATAGCCTCACTTAGGAGAATTGGTCATTAGAAAAGAGAACCCTACATGTGGAACAATGGTGTATGAGCCAAAAAAGATTGAAAAGCTATTGGTGACAAAGTCTAGAAAGCAGATTTTTGTTAAAGAGATAGTAGTGTTCTATGTGTTGGCAGAGGACCACTCGTTGTGAGTTCCGAGGCGAGGAGCTAAGTCCTTTGGATAAGCAGTGTGCTAAGGGAAGGGATATGGGAGAAGGTCTTAGGATGCAGTTCCGTGAGGAAGATGGGTCAAGAGTGATCAAGGTGATACTCCTAGTCTAACAAAGGCATCAGAGTTTTAAGTGGGAGAGAATGTTAGCCCTCTAAGATTAGACTAGCTTAACTCAAGAGGGTAAAAGAGTGGGCCAAAGGAACTGGGTTTGGATTGATGGAGCTACACCAAGAGAAGCTGAAGGGACCAAGACTAACCTAATAGACGGGTTGGATTGAGCCGTGACCCAAATAGACAAAAGACGCTCAAGATAAGGTGACAAAAATGTTGTAAGATTGTAGATGAAGATCACAATCAAGTAACAAGAAAGTCAATGGTTGAGTTTGAATTACATGATACTCAAATTAGATTGGATTGGATTTGATCTATCATTATTAACCAAAGATATTCATTCAATGGACGAGTTTAAATAAAAGGACAACCAAAGATGAAGATTTGGACTGATTAGTAGAGTATGATTATATTTACAATTTGTAATCTAGATTGTAATATTCTTGATTGAGGTTAAAAGGACCTAGCCCCTCTTTATAAATGGGGCAC